CGCATTATGAATTCTCGCGTTAAAAAAAATGAATAAGCCAGGTGTAGATGAAATTGCAGGTCGTTTAATTATTCTGCTGACTGCTTTTCCCTTTTAATGATTTCTTTAGTGAAATTTTCTTTATAGTATGTCGTGATAAATTTTGTAAGTATATTTATTTGTGTACAAGAAAATATTTTTTTTTTCGGAATTGCATCATATTCTTATTTTTTAAACCATATAGGAGTTCAGCTCCATTAATGGAACAGTTAGCCAATTTATATCAAAATTTATAAAATATATATAAATTGTTTCGAATTAATTTAAATTTTGGCCTTATTACATTGTCTATTATCTACTTATTTTATTACATTATCTCGTGATACCTCTCTGAAGAGCTGGTACGATAGTATGTGACACTTTTTATTAACCGAAAAGTAGCGTTAGCCCAAATGGACTATTACTCTAGAAACAGGATTTTCTGTTGAATCACTATAAAAAGCTGTATCACTCTTAAAATTGTTGCCATCAATTATTATCGCCCTGTATTATTAAAAAAAAATAAATAATGAATAACCGGCGAAATATATGCATGTTTCTCGCAATCTGAAAAAACGGCGGTACTTAGAGCCCTCAGATTTTGAATAAAGTAGTCCTGTACCCAAACATCTGCTCTTGGAAGCCCGGATTTTTAATTTCAAATTTGTTTTATCATCTATTTTGTTTTATTTTGTAAAACTTTAATGAATTTTTGATTAAATAACTGAACGATTTGAAAGCGAGCAGTGGCAACACTGTACGGAATAAAACGGTTTTTATCTCCAGTGCGCGAGACTGTCTATCGGAAATTCTAAAGATTTACTGTTTTTAAACATTTTTTTATTTTCTTGTTAAACTGAATCTTATGTATCGTAGGTGCGAAGAACTTGAGTTCAATAAATAAAATTAAAACACAAAATTTTAATGATTAAAAAACCAGAAAAGGTTTTGCAAGCCATCTTGTTGAATTGTATATGACGTACGTGTGAAGAAAACGTTGCATAAATAATAAAGCTAAAAAGAAAAACAGGGTTTAGCAGGAGTGAGTGCAACAGGAGACTGTTAGACTGAGAGCGTAAAAAACTTAACAAACGCCTTTGGGCGACCATTAAAATCTGAAAACTTTCAGAATTTTTTTTTGTATTAAATTTTTTAAAAATTCTTTTGGGTATTCTTTACTATTACGTTTTGATGTAACAACTTCCGATTAATTCGGAAATTTTATAAAAAAAAGTATTTGTTATTTTCATTATTCGTGCTAAACTGACTGCTGTTTTAACAATTTGTTTAACTCACGAGTTCATTTGAGTTTATTTCTTTTTAGTCCTCTTAACGTTGTAGAGTCATTAGATTATTTTTATGCGGGAGACTTGAAAAATGAGCAATGTCCTCGCCGGGACTCGAATCTGAACCTCTCGAATACGGTCCGAGTTGCTAACCGTTACGCCACGAAGGCATGCAGAAAAGAGGGAGAAAATACTCCCTTTTAAATACTTTTTCCTTTTTTATTTCTTTTAAACGGCGACTGAGGATTATAGGTCCAATCGCCAAATCCTGGTGGTGAAGAATCATCATCCACTACCTTTTTTTTAGTTCGGGCACCACTGTACATTCATTAGGTTTATTTGATGCAGGAAGACGTGAAAAATGAGCTATGCCCTGGCTGGAACTCGTATACGCGCTGAGTGTGCTACCGTTACACTACGAAGGCATGCAGAAAGGAGGGAGAAAATAGCTTATAAGATATGATATATGTCTAATATTTTAATTGAGCTAGAAAGTAATTGTATTTTCAAAAAAATAAAATGGCTACTTATGTAGCAAATGCAGGAAGAAAATATTTTCGACACATGACAAGAAATTGTTCAACGAAGTAGAATTCGTTCCAGTTAAGCGAATCAAGTCGAAAGCTGAAAATATTTTTGCTCGCATCGCGGACATTGTTTGTTGTACGGTGTTTCATTTAATTGCAATTGACAAGGAACTGAATAACTTAATTAACACAGCAATTATGGCAATTTTATTTCTCAAAAGCAGGATCATTTGCTTTCCAAACTAAATCATTTACTACAATATTATGTAGTATTTATGAGTAATGAATACTTCCGTTAATCTCTGTCTTGCATTCCTTCATTTCTGGTGCCTTTGATACCACTTTTCCACGATGTTTTCGGTCAGGTTGCTGTGCAATTCTCAATCCATTTAACTTGCCCTACCTGCTCATAAATCAATATTAATGGGACCCCCTGCATGCACCACCAGAGATGGTTTCGGTATACCTGAGGAAAGGCTGAGGGATTTAGGAGACTTCTGTTTATCTATTAAGCAACCCTTGACGTTGTTAGACGTGCGGCTGCTCATCTGAATTTCATTTCAAAACAATTTCAGTTTCTCCTGTCGATGTTTCGACATTTATCATAGAGATTCACACACGTTCTTGTCAATTATATGAGGCAGAAATTAATATTTCTGCAACTGTTCAGTGACATTAACCTATCTGAATTGCAATACATTCAAAATTCTGCCACCCGGTGTGACCGCGTTCGTTGCACTGGCTCTGTGTACGACTAAAGCTCTCAGCAAAAACAATTATTTATGCTAAGTAACAAATCAGGGATTAATAGTAATCAGTAATAAACAGCAAAACTGATCAGTTCACAGTTCTCACAGCCACGTGAAACAATAAAATGATTTCCTAAAGAATAAGTTCTTTCTCCGATTCTTTCTGCAATAAGAAGATAAGTCAGTTTTTCTTAATCAATAAGGAATGAAAATGAAAATGAAAGCTTCTTTACTAGCCAACAGCGAACATATATACTAAAATTTCGGGAAAACAAATCCTACTTGCAAAGTGAACTTCAAATTTTTGGAGCAGAAAACACGAAATATCAACTATCCCTGAATTCGAGCCATAGATCTTTCAGTCACTAGCTGAATGTGCTAATTACTTACACCATGAAAGCAGTGTGGTTCAATTCTTTAGATTCTCCCTCACTTAAAGGGGAACTGGGAATAGGCGTAAAACCCAGCCGAATTATTCCAGTTGGTAATGTAATAACATTATAGGTTACAGTTTAATTAAATATGGCAAAGCGCACGTAGGCTCTCTACCTAGGGAAAAGATGCTTTCGTGGAGGACATTTTAAGCTAGCCTGGCTCATGTTCAAGTTATATATATTACGGTGAAAATAAAGAAAACCAGCCATGCAGCAATGACTTGAGTTCAGAAAGGGATCGAGCTCCCAGTATTCAACAGTCAGTCAATCGATGATGAACTAGTGTTCACCGTATATTAGTTCCACCGCCAATATAGAGACCGTAATGAAATTCGATGCCAGGAAGGATGAAAATTAACTGTGCTCACCGGAATTTTAACTACGAATCAACCAACTGGTAGCTAGACATACTAAATTTAATACTGCACCAACTTTTGCTAACTGTAATTCTGCGCCAATACGTACTGTAATACTGTACCAACTTTTCAAATAAATTACTAAACTTTCTAGCTTCCTTTTCTTCATTATTTAATTTGCAGATTGTTTTAAAATTATAAATTATTTATCTATTACTTTGATATCATTTTTACTCCTTGTACATCGTTTCCCATTGATTTTTTGCGGATCTTAAGTAAGGCTGTACCCTTTCTTCTAGAAACAAATACGCCGGCTAGCTCTAAAAGTATCTATTGACAAAGCACAGAAACAGCTACAAAGAAAATATACCGCAAAACAAAAATACCTAAAATTTAGAATTAAAACGTTCGCGTCTCGGAAACATAATGTTAGAGAACCAATCCTCATTGCAGCTGAAAGTCGACTGGCTTTTAAATTGTATCTCGTTGCTACCAGATGGCGTTCGATAAAATAGTTCGGTTACATCCAAATAGAAGGATACATTTATTAGATTCTTAATTAGGGCAATTCACTGCTAAATGCAGTACTGTTATTATGTGTAATATACTGCCTTTTATTTATTTATTTATTTTTTTTTATTTATTAGTCCAAAGGGGCAATTTGCCCAGAAGGACTATTAATTTCGTTTCGGCATTTTGCTTCGATTCACTTTCTGCGTAGTTTCACTTTTCAAATTGTTGCCACCAAATATCATCGCCCTGTATTACATTTAAAGAAATTAAATAATGAAGAATGTGCATAAATGTATGTATGTTTCTCGCATTGTGGTAAAACAACGGTACCTAGAACCTTAAATTTTGAATAACGTAATCTTTCACCGAATATGGGCATATGGTAGCCCTAATTTGGAATTTGAAATTTATTTTATTATCGATTTTATATTAATAATCCGAAATTCTAAAGATATGCTTATTTTAAAATTATTTTGCGATATTGCTATTGAACTGAGTTATATGGTTTAAGTGCGAAGAAAGTTATATTTAATAAATAAAGGTTAAAAACGTTAAAAAAACGCCCCTTTGGACGTAATTTAAAATCTGAAACCTTTCAGATTTTTTTATTTACTTATTTTTTACTAATGCTGCAAGAATCCGTTTCGAGGATTCATTTTCATTTCATAAGCATTTCGCGTTATTGCTTGGCATATATCACTCATTTGCATTATAATAAATATGCCTTTGGTCTGCAGAAAAATATAACCCAATTATCTGTTTTTAAAAGCCGAATGTTCTGTGGTTTTAATTAGTTCAAGTAACTGGAATTCTATAGCAGAGGCATGTCGAGGGTACGATAAGTGAGGCAGTTGCTAAAATTATCAAAATTAATATATAGTAATACTAATAATAATAATCTTTTCTACAGATAATCTTTGCTATCAAAATTTGAATATTGCGATTATTAGAAGAAAATTATCATCATGCATTCATAAGTTCAACTTTCTATGCAGTTTTATAAAATAATCACGTAATTCTGCTATTTTATGTACATAAAATATTTTTATACTGTTCTTTGCCATTTTTTTATTTATGATTATTCTGTTAAATCAATTAATATTTCTTCCTCTTGCAGGGCAATGTTGTTCTGTGTCAATACAGTTTTCATCTTTTGTAAGGCAATGTGTAAAAGAACGATATCGGCAGGAAAAAATAAAATGATTCCAGAGGACATTTTTAATTATTTCTGAGAGAGATCTTTTGAAATTATAAATCTGTTTAGAAATGCAAGCTTTAACGTCATTCACGAAGAAATCATACTTTATTTGGAACAAATAGCTGGTAAATGTATTCGAAGGTGTACGAACAACCTAAGAAAGAGCAACTGATGATGGTGCTTAATATGCAACCCACTGCTAGTCGCTTCACGACGTCATTAAATCCTTAATATCGTTCACGTACAACCAAAGTTTATGCACAAAATTGAAATATTCTTCGCATAAAAATTATTCCATATAGATGTAATAGCCATTTTTAGCATGGAAAAGCTGCTTTCTTCAAGACGTACAAAATATATGTGATAAGGACAGTTTAGATTAGGCGACATTTTCGAAGAATATGGATGCTTAAGAATTTTTTTTAAGATAAACGAAGTTTCTTATATTTTATGTATACAACTATTAAACCACTAGGAATACTGTTATTTTGAACCAGTATTTATAACTGTAGATTATACAAATATTCTAAAAATAAAATTTCATCGTTTCAATTAATTATTGAAGCTCAAAAAGAGAATCTTTCCAAATTTTAGAATTATATAAATAATAAATTTCTCAAGAAAATACGTATAACTCTTGAGATTTGGGCTCAGAATATTCTTTATTATATTTCTGTTGCTGGATCGTGTGCATATCATTTTATATTTGATCTTTCAAGCTGCACAATGGTTCTTAATTAGTTTTGCTTTAAACAGCGAATTAAATGATTTTGACGATGATCAACAAGATATATACTGCACACCACTGCCATTTTCAAAAGTTAAAAACACTGTTATAAATGCATAGATTAATACGTATTTTATGTACGTTATCTTTAACGTCATTTATGAGCTTTAAAATTAAATTATTCTAGAAATGCATTAATAAGACGATACGAAATGGTAGCCCTGCTATTATTCATGTTTGCCACTGTGGTGGCATTGATATTATTTGACAAATATGAGGAAGAGCATGAAGTGCAAAATCAGAATTCACGTCCCTTCACGGAAGAACCTCGTGCAGAACGAGATTACAGCACATGCAGCATCTTCACGGTTCTGGGCTTCACCCGAGATGAAGTGAGATCATTCACAGCTTTTAGGGACCACTTCCGGAGCTATGCTGAAGTGACCGGAGCTATGCGACGAGCGGGCCTCGATCGTATGCGACTCATTGTGGGCATCGACTTCAGTGCCAGTAACGAGTGGCAAGGCCGCAGAAACTTCAAAGGTAAAGAAAGTAAGAGTTATGAAAATATTGAATAAGCAACTCACAAATTTCACATCTTTCTTAAATTTCATTCTTAAAATGTAATGCGTCATAATCACAGTTATGAAGTGCAAATTGTCTCCAATGCTATATTATGCCATGCCATGGAGTAATCAACAAGTAATAAAGATATGTTTGGATTACCATAATCGGTGATTTTGTAATTCGCCAAAAGTTCCCAGCATCTTCTAGTACGTAATCGCTATTTCAGTTATCTCCTAACTTCAATCCACTGGCGACTGCAGAACTACTGGTGTCTTCACTAGTCAAGCTCTCATCTAATAACAAATTTTATTCAATGAACTAAATTTTTATCCCATATATATTTTTGATTATTAGACATGTTACAGTAGGGTTAGGCATAACATTTTTAAGAACTCGTAAAACTCAGTTTACTTAATTTATGAAGAAAGTACAAGTCTATGATTAAATATGGGATGACTTGGGGATCCCCTAAATTCAGAAGTCTTACACCCGGGCCTTGTGGGCCTGAATAGAAGTCATATTTATCACACGAGGGGTAAAGTTCGAAGTGACTGCAGCCCCCAACTGCATAAATGAGGATCTAAATTTATAGGGCGTTTTTACTTTCAAGTGATAAGGATATTCAATTAAAGTACAACATAGTATTTTCCATACATCAGGACTTGGCAAATTTAGTTCTCTAAGTAGACGTTGACAGTCGGCCTATGATCATTAGCTCACTGAATACTTTACGTATGTAGTACTTACGTTTGTAGTATGTGCACATATTGTGTGCCTACCAGAATATTTCCCATCTGCTATGCTGCCTATTTCATATATTTGCTCATAAGTAGCCAAATCTTCGCTCTTGCTTCAAAAGGTCTGCAAGTTTACTCTCAAATTTAGCTTGAATGATACCATATGATAATCCTATTAAATCTGCTGCAACAAAAGCTGTTCTTTCCTCTGTTATTACCATTCTACGACCGCTTGACATTTTAAACAAAACTGACAGGAAAATGCTTTCACAAAACTGGATCGAGACCTTGTATTTATTTGCATATTTATCGACTGGATTAGTCTTCTCAATAATTTTGTATCTTACTTTAGTTTGGCCTTCAAATATGTAATGTTAGTGTACAAGAAACTATTCTCTAACCAGTGCCCTTGCTTTTTGGCCTTTTCTCTGTCTCCCGTTCCTTTACATTAATCTTTTCCTCCGGTGCAAAGGTATCTAACATATAAATGTAGGGAATTTAAAATACATGAAAACTGTAGCGTCAATTAATGAAAAGAATCATATTAATTTGCGAAATCATCTGCTTCTAATCTTAATCTTACAAGGTATTAGATCTCTCAAGGACAACCGAGATGAAACAAAAAAGAAAAGAATGAAAATAAAGCAATTTCTACTGAGTTATAGCATTTCGCAGCACGCCGCAAACTTCAAAACAAGGCTTATTAAGTTGTACGTGCATCCGCAATATTTGCAGCTACTGATACGCAAAATATATTATAGCTATGAGTTTCGAAATAAGTGTGTGATAAAGCACATATTTGACAAGTAACATACTTGTTTTATGGCCGTTACTGTTGCTTGAATAGAGTATTATTGAGCATAGACTTATTCAACTGTATATCAGATAGTGGAGTAATAAGTGTATATCTTTCTTCGTTCAAACAGTGGTTTTAAAATCATAAGTGGTTTAAGCCGAACTTCTTTAGCTAGGCAACCAGACTTTGTTACGTCAGGAAAACTGGTTTAAGGATTTTGCCTTAATGTTTTAACTTTTCAGCTTTGTGCCACTTGGTATAAGAGTCGACCAATCACAGCGAAGTAAACACCGGTTACCGTTTCGCTGAATCCACTACACATTTACACATGCGTAACTTTCCCTTCCCTGACTGGCTATGCCTTAAACCCTGTTAAACTGGTGTAAATGGACCTAATGACTTTTACGTCTTAAACTTTCAAGCGTTATGACTACAAAACCGTCATCTAAAAGAAGCTCATTGCGCGATTAGCTAAATGCCTTACAGTCCTGATATTATGGTGCAAGTGTTAGTAACGGAGGTGATGTAAAAGTACTTCAAAGTACTCTGGCGAACGCACTGCGTACGAGATGTTTGGCTTGATTTCGCAGTTAAATTCATAACAACAGTTTGCCGAAAATACAAAAACAACATCAGACAAAGTATTACACATTATACCGGCTTTTGAATCAAGTAATACAATGGAGTAAAAAGTGGCACGAAGTAGTGAACTTATGTACATTAGTTCCAGAAGGTGGGTATTCATTGCTGGCATTTTAAATGCAACGCATATTTCTTTCACCTTCTTCAAATTACTGTTTCATTCCCTGCAAAAACTTATTATATGTGCGCCACTCTTCACTGAATCAAATGCTGTCACTACCTGCTCGTGGTGCTTGCATCGACTTTGCCATCTGCCGTCACATTAGCACGTTAGAATGACATTACGTGTGTGACATGTGCAACAGAGATTACGTATCTAGATTGCCCTATACTTCACGGATACACTAAGTTAATTAAGTAAGTCTGTGGTTGTAAATAGAGTAAGCGAGGACCCAATTTTAAACGTCCTGTTCTGAGGTTTCGGGCATTTGCTAAATGTCAGACACGCATCTATTATGTTATTCACATATTTGTCCACCCTTGAAAGTTTCGTGGTGGTTGTCATGGGGAAGTCCAACAACATCCATTGTTAGAACTTAATACAATAAGGTAAAGTTAGTTACAGAGGGATGGACTAATCTCGAATTTTGTGAATTTTGAAAAAAATTCGAAATTCGAAAACTAGAATCTTACCCCTTCTTCCGTCGTTCGTATCTTTCAGATCATAATGTAAAAAGCTATTAAACATGTTACCCAAAATTTTGGAAAGATGGTGTTATTAGGAGTTCAGAAGAAGCACTCATTAAAACCCAAGAAAGAAAATCCGGTCAATCTTAGGGAAACCTGGTTCCCTAATATCCCCTAGTGTAACACTAATCGTCCCACTCTTTATTTTCTGCGGAGTATTTAGTATTCCATGTTTTTATCTGTATTAAATCTTAAAATAATCCTCTAACCCTTACACCCGCTTTGATTCAAAAAGATTTTGGAAAAATATGAGCATCAAGACTCAAAAGTTCTGATTAGCTACTACATTTGCTTAATTTCATTTGTAGTTTCTTATAGATATATTTTTCATAACCTGTATTCTTAACTTTTTCGGTCCTGCTGGTGATGTTTTCGGCCTTCAGTATATACAGATTTATTTTAACAGTAGTAGAGACTGTTTTTGTTAGCATGATAGTATCCTCGGTAGTTCACATTGCGAATGGAGAATTATTACAATTCATTATGGCAGTCACAAAAAGTTTAGCGTTTTCTGGACTCACTGGTCAACACACCAGCGAGTCCAGAAAACGCTAAACGACCGCATTCTAAGTCCGGCGAGGCTGACCGCATTCTAAGTTCTAAGAAAGTCCGTCTTCTAAGTCCTAGGAATTCACTTGTTCCAGCAGAACGTCAGAAGCCCCACGTAATTCCTATACATGATGTAAGATATAAAAACATTAAATACTGGTGGATATAGAAAGAAGAGCAAGAACAGCGTTGTAAACTGGAAACTTGAGGAGGACTTTCCAGAATCCATTTTGAAAAATGGCAAGTTTTTTTTTAATAAAAAATAAAAATTATTTAAAAAAATTCCATGTAATATTTATAAATGTTAGTTAATCCATGTGTATATTTTTATGAATTTTAAATGATGATGATATCTATATGATGATATACCTAATGATGGCAATTGCGACGACACCCTAGCTTTTAGAACTCAAGAAGGAACTTGTTAATATGTTACAAGAGAGTTCTTCTAACAGCTATAAACAATACTTTTAGATCGGTGTTTTTTTTGGGGGGGGGTGTCTTAAAAATATTCAGGGCTGAAAGGGTTAAATTTGTTTTTGCTAAGGGCGAAATTTCAAGTTTTTTGCCTCAGTTAAATTTTTTCGAGTTAAATAAGTTGTTCCTTACTCTTATGATTATACTATTATGAAAGATTCGAGGAATTTGAATTCGAGAAAAAGTTACGATTCGTTCCATCTCGATAATTACGTAAATGTTTTTTGCTTTAAATCTCATCTCATTCACCTGTATATATAAAACATTAGAAACTGCAACACATTTTTACTCGTATCAGTTGGTCTTTAAATAGGTATCCATTAGTATACTAAGTTTATAGGCTATTTCTATTACGTTCTATTCAGTATTCTTACTTTGGTTTTCTGCTGTTTGTTACAGAAATAAGCAGGTCTTTGCTTGCGTAAAATCTGGATTTAATTTTGATTGGCCTGCGTAATTTTTTGTACGGCTTAGCTTCATTTACAACTCTCTACCTTAAAATAATACTTTAATTTAAAGTATCATTTTAGTCCTAATATCAGAGCCGTCTTAGCTAATAAATTAAGCTAAGAATTTTACAAACTAACTCTAAAAAGTTGTAATTTGTCGAATTAATTTAGTTGGAAGTTCAAAGTTATTGAATTATTTAGTTGTAAGTTAATCGAATTCGTGAAGATTGTAAAGAGTTAGCTTACAAATTGTTGCTTATTTTACTAGGTCTAAAAAAAATTGAGTACAACCAAATTACAACTTGCAGGAATTGGAACATAACAGTATCATAAAAAAAGTCAGTATATTTTTTAGCGATGCCTGTTTAATTTATGGTATTCCAGTTTTCCTTTTATAAGTTTAATGGGAACATGGAGAAAAAATTAATTGAACTCTTTTATGCATTTTTCAGGTGAATTGCTCCATTCACTGAAAGGCAGTGCAGTCTTCAACCCTTATCAGAAAGTATTACATATGTTAGCTCCAGCTTTGTCACCTTTCTTGCACAATCAACCTATTCATGCTTATGGCTTCGGTGACGTCAGGACTAAGGACTATGACGTGTTTCCTTTGAGACCTTCAGGATCTACATGCCCCGATATTGCCGATGTATTAGATGCTTACAATCACAGCGCACGAAGAGTAAGTTATTTTGCAGTTGATAAATTAATATTTACGCCTTCTGTTACATAAAATTGCGCAATATCGGTATTTCTAGTTTTTGACCGTAATGGAAACTCCCACCCCACACACACATTGTATATCGTTAAAATTTATAAGCTGTAGAAAGCAAATCAAAATTTTAAATTTAACGTGAGATGATTGTAAAAAAGCTATTAATGTATCTAGATTCTAGAATCATGAAATTTCTATATAGGAGATATCCAGAAGCACTAGATCAGAGGAATATTCGAAATGTCTTTTTCAACTGAAATCAGACTTTTATTTCTTCTCATAATAGAAGAAATATTTATACAGACACAAAAAAAGTGATAAAAAGGGAAGTAGACTAGATAGGTTATTGATTATAAAAAAATGATACATGAGAAGTATGCCATCACAGAGAACTTTTTAGGGAAAGCGAAATTATAAAATACGTCTGTAATGAATTTAACTAGATATGCTGAAAGAAATTATTCTCAGTGCTAGTGATCTCTGACTTAAAATCAAGACTGGTTGTGTAAAAGCAAATATCTATTTTCCAAACACTAGAAATATTAATAATTAGTAACTACACTTAGGGGCAGATGGACCTATCGGGAATTTGTCAAAATTTCCTAAGGCGCTAGTAACTGTGACACTGTTTTCTTTCCTGATATCTAACCCTGTCTTTGTTATTTCGTTGCAGATTCATAACCGTTTGATCTATTTCTATATTCCATTGTATAAAAGTAAGAAATGTTCATGTTCCACCACCGGCACGACTCCATAACCTATTAAGATGGCGGCACGACTCCATAACCTATTAAGATTATAAAGATGGCGGCACTTTTATGCAAGTGGGTAAATGTTCGCCATGATAAAGACCTTCACGTGGGTATCCCAGCAGCTTTGATGAGGGTTGCTTTCTTCGTGATACCGAATTTCAGAGAGTGCCGGCACATTTATGGCTTTATGTAAGGGTATCCTTGTGTCTTGGCGAAAGCATGTCACCTTAAAAAGTTTGCCTGCAATTTTGTGCAAACTGCAGATTGTTCGCCAAGACTGAGACTTGCTTTACTCACGATATCGAACTTCATAAGTGTTCCGGCACATTTGTGCCTTTATGTCTTGGCGAGCAATTGGCACCATGGAGTAAAATGTACCGGTACCTTGGGGACCTTTGCGTCCTTGGTTTAATATGGGTTACTCGAAAAACACTTTTTCATGCTGCCCGCGCTTGTTAGACCAACGTATCCACCCTTGACTACACTTGTAACACCTTTACCCAGAAAAGAAGTGAAGACAAACTTCGACATACCAGTGTGTTACATAAATAATTCCAAACGCTTCGCTCTTAAATATGAAGACGATTATATCGAATAGTCTTTTACAGTGAAAATTAATTATAAATTCCATGTCGGAAAAAAAATAGATATGCACTTGTATTTTGATGGTGCAAAGGTCAACGGATACTGGAAATCCCGTGTTCGACTGCTCACGACGCCAGGTTTAATTTACACTTCCAGACATCCTAATGCTGCCCACATGTGGCATCCAAACGAGAATGGTAAACGATAACTTGTCATCAGACTTGAATTTGTCGAATGAGGTTCGTCTTCCCTATCCCAATGGATGATGTAAAGGCATTTGTTCTTTGCCCTATTAATAATGTATTACCTAACACTGTTATCATATATGCGATCTTGTGGTGCATTATAGTGCAGAAAATGATTGGCACTTACTTACATGCGTAGTCATTCAGACCCGTCTTCAACTTTGGGTAAAGGCATTACATATTTGTTCAAAAAAATTTGATGTGACAAGAAGAATTTTACTTTAAAGAAATCAATATAGATGTTAGTGAGCTCCTTTCCTTAGAGAAATCCATTACGTATGTTATTAAAATTCGTTGCCATGGAAAAAATACTCATACTAATGATTTCAGAGAGAATTCACACAGAAACATATGCTCAAGACGCTGTTTCTCAAACTCTGTTACGTGTACGCTTAGAAATACGAGAGAAAATCTTTTTGAGCGATACTAGGTAAAATAATGGAAAGAACCAAGTGGGTAACTGAGAATATTATTCTTGATTATCAGTAAAATTTATTCATTGGTGTTGTCAAACTTCAACTTTGCTTTCTAAACATACTTAATCATGTTTTTACAAGCCTTATTTAGTTCACTCATGTTGGTTGTCGCTATGGTTAAGAGTTTGTCATCGATTTTTAAATTACTTCCCGATAAATATGGAAACCACGTTTTATAAACACGCTGTTTATGGATGACAATATAATGCGGCGAAGCAATGTTTACAAAATTTGATTTAAATTTTTCAAAATTTATTACTGAAACGATTTTATACATATATCTTCCTTTAAGGAAGAACTTAAAAATCTCAGAAATCCGCTTTTTGAACCATTGATTAAAGCGGAAAAATATCTTTCAAATGAAACTTATGTGAAATTGTTAAGTTAATATCTGATTTTTTTTTGCCGAATTTTCGAAATTTTCTGGATTTTTTCCTACTATTTGACATCTGGTAAGACCCGCATAACGCCTGAGGTCGCTGAGAGCGCCATTCGGTACGTTAAGTTTGTTGATGGAAGATGTGACGCAGTGATAATGTGAGATTTCAAAGATCGTGATATTATTACATTTAATTAAATCAATTTATATTTTATTGATTGTTGATTTATTGAAATTTGATGTAATACTATGATTACTGAATCACCCCACTATTGAAAGCTGGATTACCACTGAATCTGCAAACCACCGATGTGCATTTGGTGCATCGGGCGGGAATTCGGTAAGAGAATCTTTATTGAGTTATTGAAACTGAATTATACCTGGATAGAAATTAAATATGGCTGAAAATCGGTCAAAGTCGAAGAGGAAACGCACATCCGTGCGTTCGATGTTGACGAAATTAATTAACAAAATAGAAGTAGTTATCAACAACGAAAATGAAACAGTTGATCAGTTCGAAGCATTTTTGGAACAATTAATCGGAAAAGAAATTGACTGAAATTCTTTAAATGATGAAACTTAAAATCTTTTGAGACAATATCAGAAGATATAGAAGCTTCAGAAGAAATGAAAGAAAAAATAATTTTTTGGAAATCGAAACTTCGTCCTAAAATAAAATAAAGGAAATAAATTCTGATTCTATCCAAGTTGATACAGTTTCACAAGACATTTAGTTGATTAATAATGAAACTGAAAATATAAATATAAAATTCTCTAAATTACATATTAGTAAATCATGGTAATTATTCTGGTTGGTTAATTTTTTACAATTTATTTGAAGCTCTGTTCCTAATAATCCTAAATTAAGCAAAGTTGATAAAGTTAATTATTAAAGTGAAATCTACCGTCAGCATGTATAGTGAATTTCCTTTAAGTGATGAAAATTATGATAAGGCACTTGAGTTATTGAAAGAAAGATTCGGAAATAAAAACATTTTGATTAACACTCATTTGAGTGTTTTGCTGAATTTAACTCCCGTCAAAAGTGCTAACGATGTTATAAGTTTACGAAATTTATATGATAACGCGGAAACGCAGGTCAGAAGCTTGGATTCTTTAGGAATTACAGATGACAGGTGAATGCAGAGCCCGGACGGCTTAATATGACAAATCGAGTGTCGTCCGGTACCCGCACCTATCTAGAACAACCCAACACTCGCGGCTTCCTGAGAGGGCTGCATCGGGAATATATTAATGGAGAATATGAAGTTTTGACGTGGCCAAACAAGAGCGTATGCATATAGGCTTCAGTATACAATTAATAAAAAGTTTCATACATAGGTACATTGGCTGGTATAGGTACATTGGATACAGGTGAATCATATGCAAATTTATTGACACCAATTTTAATAAAATTAATTCCTTCAGAATTCGTTTTAGAATTATGATCGCATTCAAGGCCACAAAGAATTTGACTTGAAAACTCTTTTTCGATTCATTGATAATGAAATACGAAGCCGCGAGAGACCCTTTCCAACTAATAATTATAAATCATCTAATCAGCGAGTGCACTTATTTTCTCCGCAAGAGAAAATAAAAAGAAAAAAATTCTACTTCCGTTAGACATAACTCTTCAAGACCTCCGCGAGAATTCTCCCCCCCCCACACACACACGCATGAATTCATGGCGTCAATCGGTAATGTAATTTTTTTTTTTTTTTTTTTTTGTAGCAAAGGTCATAAATCAAAATCGTGCTCTACATTTAAAGCAAATGAAAAGAGAGAGATGTTAAAGAAACAAGCTCACTGTTTCTTATGTTTGACGCTGTCATATAATCGAATTCTTTGATCAATTCATCTTTGTCGGTTCGTTTTCCATCCACTTATAAATGTTATTAGTCAACTCTATTTGCAGGAAATAAACTGGGACACTTATGCAGGTTTAACAATAACATGAGCTATATTTTAACTTTGTAAATACAGTTTAACTTTTCACAAAGTATTGCTTTTATTCACATTACATCAAACGCACAAGTAATACATTGCATCTCTCAGCTCTTAACAAAAAAAAACAAGCTAACTCTACTCTCGGAATACAGTCAAACTAATTTCAATTTTTTTTTTCACGAGCATGCCGTTCTTCTCGCATCAAGCACGTTTCTTCTTCTCGTCGCCAGATTTTCTCCTCTCTCCTTTCAGCTATAAGTCGTTGGCTTTCAGCTATAAGTCTGTTCTTCCGGCATGTTTGGTCGGTAGCATAGAGTATGTGCATGACACGCCCCTGCCAAGAATGAAATTGGTCCTTTCTTTGGGACGTATTTCATTAATCAATATCCAAGAAAATTTTCTGTACATTACTTTTACACAATACCAACCTCGTACAGTATTAAATAAAACAAAACAGAACAAGCAATAAATTATTACAATCCATACAGAAAACATAAAGAAAAAGAAAAAAAACAATCAAATTATATTAATCATATCATATTTGATCCAGACGTGAGAGTGCATCTGCACTTTGGTGCTGGATCCCTAGCCTATGACTAAACCGTAAGTTCCATTTCTGCAGTGCCAAAGCCCA